AAGAGCGTGCGTGGGAACACCACCCAGCACGCGCCCCTCGACCCGGCGTCCGCCGCGGACGCGCGCACGCACGCCGGAAGGGGCGGAGCCAGCCCTGGCTTTATAAGTCGTGGGACTTGCACAGGCCGACCTCTACCGGCGGGTTTTGGCGGCGAGATGGTAAGTGTTGTTATGTCGGCTTTCTTTTTGCCTCTCGCGCCGATAGCGCACAATCCGCGGCTAATCCCGGCCATCTCGGCCTGGCCGACGCTGGCTGCTGCTCTAGGAGCACAGCGGACGCGACGGGGCCCGCGGTCAAACCTATTTTCTGGAAACACGCGAGGCCTGTGCAGAGGCGCGTGGAGGCTGGGCCTTGGGCCTTCGTGTAGGCGGAGGCAGGCCGTGAGGCGGGAGCAGGCCCAGAGACTGACTCTTACAAGTCTGGTCATTTCTGAGACCTGAGCGCGCACGTTTTGGCGTTAGTAACGAACGGCTAGGGCCCAAGAGCGACTTGGCCAGGAGGGCCTTGGGCACTGCGTGCGCTGTTAAACCGGAACAGGCAGGGGAAAGGGGAGACTGCCGGCTCTCGCAGCCCCAGTCTGAAATACCTGGGCGGTCGGTGCAATTCGTAAGGCCTCTGGAGTTCTCAGGAACCACATGTGATGAACTTATTGACGGGCGGACAGAGACTGTGTGCTGATTGTCAAGTTCTGATTTGGCTCCGTGGAGTTCTAGCGGCCTTCGTTTCTTATCCTAGCTCCTGTCGAGGAGCCGGAGGGAGCCCGGTGTTTGATACCAGTACTAATGGCGTTTTCGTCTGGTGCTAAGAAATGTAGAATGAAAAATGAAAAGATTTGGCATGTTTAGCACATGTTTTGTTGGACATTACTTTCTGGATGTGTGATCCTGGAAAAGCAAATTGAAAATGCTAGATGATCCCATTGCTGGGCTGGGTGTTGGGTCGGGATTGGTGTTCTTCTTGGGAACGGTTAGCACCTGGGCAGCTGGGTGGGCCAAAAGCAGTGGCTGCTTTGATCTGGTTGCTAATACTGGTCATTTCTCCCTAGTCTCACAGGAAGTTCTCTGCCCCCAGACATGGGTCCCTGGGCTTCTTGCCTCGGAAGCGCAGCAGCAGGCACCGCGGGAAGGTGAAGAGCTTCCCCAAGGATGACCCTTCCAAGCCCGTGCACCTCACAGCCTTTCTGGGCTACAAGGCTGGCATGACTCACATCGTGCGAGAAGTGGATAGGCCAGGGTCCAGTACGTATACACTGTCTCTCCTGAGTTGGTGGGGAGAGGCTCGGAGAACTGGGGCTGCACTGTCTGAAGGGCAGGTTTAAGGGGAACCTGTGGGTTGTCAGAACCTTATTGCAAGCAGAATAGTGGTGGTCACTTTTAGGGCTGATGAGCACCTCATTTTTCTTTTCTTTTTTTTTTTTCTTTTTTTTTTTTAAGAATTTTGTTTTTTAAAAATTTGTTCAGAGAGACCGAGAAAGCAAGCCATCAAGTCGGGTGCTTGAACCGTGATTAGCCATGTGGGAGTACAGTGCCTTGATCACCACCACCTGCCAGCCCCAGGGCTGATGAGTATCTAAAGCTGTTGATGGTCAGCACTACTCTGTTTAGGCAGATAGGTTTGTTAGGGTCAGGAACTGACTGTTCAAGAGCCACAACATAGAGCATCTCCCTAACCAAAGCAGTCTGAGTTGCTGAGGCCAGAACACCACCATTCATTCTGTGGCATGCTGGTTGACAGCCTCACCTGAGCTTGAATGATGCCCACGTGGCTGGGTTGTGGGACGTTCAGAGAAGCCACTGGAACACAACACTGGCTACTGAGCCATGGCTGATACCGTGTTAGACACTGCCTGTCCCCAGCTGAGGTCAAAGCTGTTTCCTTGGTCACTTGTTACACCTCAGGCTGTCTGTGTCATGTAGATGAGTAAGCCTGCTTTTAGAGAGTAAGGTTTGATAGACTGAAGCCAGCAGGTATGCAGTAGGGACAGTCCAGGCTGCTGGTGTTAACCCCACTTCTGCAAGTGCCCTGTTCTCTGAAACACCTTGCCCTCTTGCCCTAAAAGGGCACATTTTCCTACGTAGTGCTGCAACCTGGAGGAACTTTTATCTGGCTGCTCAGTCCATACGTTTTCTTCACAGAGGTGAACAAGAAGGAAGTAGTGGAGGCTGTGACCATTGTGGAGACGCCACCTATGGTGGTGGTGGGCATTGTGGGCTATGTGGAAACCCCTCGAGGCCTCCGGACCTTCAAGACCATCTTTGCTGAGCATATCAGTGATGAGTGCAAGAGGCGCTTTTATAAGAACTGGTAAGTGAGGAGGTGGCCAGGCCTAGGGGCTGAAGGCCAGGGGCTGGAGAGCAGGGCCTTTTCAGTCTAGCAGAGGAGGAGCTGCTTTGATTGCCTCTTGAACAGAAATTTAGCTAAGGGCACCTTGACCAGCCTTGGGATTTCCGAGCTAGGAATTGACGGCTGTTGTGTCAGCCTAGTGGAGGCTGGCTAAGGCTACACGACAGCAGGATGAGTCTGCCCATGTCTGGCAGGGCCTTCAGTCCTGACTTGAGATTCCTGTTTTGTCCATTACTGAAAGCTCCTACCCTAAGAGGTAGAGAAGGGAGCCTTCTAGCACCCGGAGCGAGTGTGTTTGAACATATGCGACCTCTATTAACCTGTGGACCTCTGCTCAGCTCCGCTCGGCTCTGCCCGATGAGCTCCATCCAGGCTCCGCTTGCCGGTGGAAAAGGCTCCTTAGAAGCCGGCAATGAGCCCCATCCCCATGTGCCAGTGTGCCTTCCGCTCACCCGCCACGGGTGATGAAGGCCGGCACCCGGCCCTGCCCCAACTCTGCTCTGCTCCTGAAGGCATAAGTCTAAGAAGAAGGCCTTCACCAAGTACTGCAAGAAGTGGCAGGATGACGATGGCAAGAAGCAGCTGGAGAAGGACTTCAGCAGCATGAAGAAGTACTGCCAGGTCATCCGCGTCATCGCCCACACCCAGGTAGGTGCCCGTGGGTGCGGGAGCATGAGCAGTTAGTTCCCTGCTGTTGGGTCTTGGATGTGACCCTGGTGACTTGAGGTTTCAAATACCACGTGCACTTTTGGGGGATGGGGGATCAGTTATCTTCTGGTTGCCCCTCAGCTCACGGGGCTTTTGTGTCAAACCTCAGGATTCTGGTAGGAGCTAAGACTGATCTGGGTTCTTTAAACCGTGGAGGAGATAAGCCTGGGAGCAGATTGCTTGAAGTTGGAGAGAAATATAGCCCAGCAGTTGCATTTCCCATAGGGTCTGGGTTCCGGGGGCCATTTGAAAGACTGCGTTGTCCAGTTCCCCCATGTTTGTGGGTAGTCCCATCCTTACCAGCAGAGGGCACTGTGTTCTTACTGTCTGTTAGGGAAACCACTCCCCGTTGTAGGCACATTTAACCAAATGGCCATAGGTAGTCCATCTGGTAACTCAGGATTAGGGTGGTGAGATACAGCCGTCCTTCCAGTCTGACTTGGTCTGAGAAGTCCTCTTGCCTTGGTTTGAAGGGGTGCTGTCTGGCTCATCCTTAAGTGAGTTGTGTTCAGTGCAGTCCATGTGGTTAGGGGCCAGTAGGTTAGCGCTTATATATAGCACATTTACACCACTGGCAACATTGTTTCTGGGTTCTGCATTGGCTCCCAAAGCCAGCTGTTGGCAGAGTGTGGGAGATGGTAAGTTCAGACTAGAGCATGATGCCAGAGGAGTGGCCCAGGACCAAGAGGAACCATGGACTGCATGGGTCCCAGATTCTGCCTAAATTTGCTTGTCTTGACGTGGACCTCGTTTGACTCATCTCCACAAGGGTGCATTTAGCACCAATTATGTAAAGTCCCTTCATTTCGGTGAGGGCCAGAGTGGTGCTAAGTTAACCACAGGTCGCCATGTCCTTGACATCAGCCCACATGCCCCAGGCTCGGTTCCTCTCCACCGGGGAGCACCAGAAGCTCCAGTTTCTGAGCCACGTCTGTGCCTCCTAGATGCGCCTGCTTCCCCTGCGCCAGAAGAAAGCCCACCTGATGGAGATCCAGGTGAACGGGGGCACTGTGGCCGAGAAGCTGGACTGGGCTCGGGAACGGCTGGAGCAGCAGGTCCCTGTGAACCAAGTGTTTGGGCAGGATGAGATGATCGATGTCATTGGGGTGACCAAGGGCAAAGGCTACAAAGGTGAGTGGTGCTGTGGCCCTGGTTGCTGTGGTTACGGGTTGGAGGGACAGGATCTCAGGCTCAGCTGTTCAGTGATGAGGCCCTGGAATGAGCGCTGGGCACAGCGCCCGAGACAGACTGCGGAACTCTTCCTTGTTGCCTTCCTTCTGAGAACAGCCTTGTGGTCAGAATGGCGGGGATGGGGGACAGAGGACATCTCTTAGATGCAAAGGGGGCTCCCCATTATGGAGAGCTTCATGGATGCCCTTAAATGGGACCACACTGCTTCAGAGCTATGTCTTTGGTCTGCTCTCATGCCACATCAGAAGTTGGGGTTTGCATGTTGGCAGATGGCTTACTCAATATGCGCAGAAGTAATCTCACATCTGTTCCTCACGGTCACGTACTCGTTGGGTGGTAAGAGTACGCCATGTTCTAAGAAGTGCCAGAAGTGAACTCAGGTGGGCACTCACAGCAAAAAGAGGTCAGGGAGGCCAGTGCCAGGCCCCTGACGGTAGAGTAACAGCATGCATCCCTTGCAGGGGTCACCAGTCGCTGGCATACAAAGAAGCTGCCCCGCAAGACCCACAGAGGCCTGCGCAAGGTTGCCTGTATTGGGGCATGGCATCCTGCCCGTGTGGCCTTCTCTGTGGCACGTGCTGGGCAGAAAGGCTACCATCACCGGACTGAGATCAACAAGAAGGTGAGAGCTTGTCAGGGCAGCATCCTGGGAGGGGAGCGACGAATCTGCAGGTGGCAGTGGGTTCCATTCCTGGCGTCACTGTTCTTTTGGCTGTGCAGCTTCCGAGCTTCATGTGGGTCTTAGCTGCTCCTGTTGGGGTTTGGGTTTCTGGGTCATGGGCATCAGGATGAGTGAGGTACTGGCCTCGTGGGTGTCTCAGGCTGACGCTGCTGGGACTAGGGTGGGGCCTGCCCTTGGTCCTGTCTCCAAGGTGGTGGGGTTTTTTTATTTTTTATTTTTTTGGAGGCACATGTGCTCACTCGCCAGAAAGATGGATAGAAAACGAGAAATCACTCTTTGGGTGATGGCCATGCTGCAGTCCCTTTTCCTCTATTCTCGGGATCTTGAGTACGCATGCACAAGCACCTGGTGTGAGTTTTAAGCCACCAGGTCCAGGACTTGAACTGCAGTCGACTACATGGGAGTTCAGCGACATAGCCATTACACCAACTGCTGGCCCCTCCAAGGAGGGTTTTGAGATGGCTGCGTGGCCTGCACAGATGGAGCTGTAGTTACAGCCCGGCCGGCTCACAGTCCAGTTTTTGCAGACCCACCTACTTTTTGTTTGCTTCGACCCTGGGTTACCTGGTTCCTGAGGCCAGAGCCATTTTCCTGCTGTGCAGGGCTGTGTTCCCTGATGCCTGCACTCTTGTCCTGAGCCTCCCTGGGGTTGCTCTTAGACCTGCTCACTTCGAGCCTGGTAGGAGGGGAGGTGAAAAAAAAAAAAAGCCAAAGCAGAGCCTGGGTCTACCCTATCCTGGTGTGCGAGACTTCTTTTCCCTAATAATAAGCTAGTCCTGACTGCACGCTGTCCAGGGACTGGTTCCCTGCCCCGTTTGTGCTTTCTGGAGTGTTTCCACTTACGGCTTCCGTGTTTAGATCTACAAGATCGGCCAGGGCTACCTCATCAAGGATGGCAAACTGATCAAGAACAACGCCTCCACTGATTACGACCTGTCTGACAAGAGCATTAACCCCCTGGTAAGGCGTGGGCACTGCAGTTTCCCCTTCCCTGCTTTGGGCTTCTGCTGGGGGACTGATAATGTTGGGGCCACGCTGACTCGGGGAACTCTTCATAGGGTCCTTCTGGGCCCTTGCAGCACCCAGCTGTTCAGTGATGAGGCCCTGGAATGAGCGCTGGGCACAGCGCCCGAGTCATACTGCGGAACCCTTCCTTGTTGCCTTCCTTCTGAGAACAGCCTGGTGGCCAGAATGGCGGGGGCTGGGCAGAGATGGGACTACGGAAACTGAAGGAGTCATCTGTGGGATGGTTCCCTGTTGTCCTCCGTGATTTCTGCTGACCCACAGCTTTGTTTCAGGGTGGCTTTGTCCACTATGGTGAAGTGACCAATGACTTCGTTATGTTGAAAGGCTGTGTGGTGGGAACAAAGAAGCGAGTGCTCACTCTTCGCAAGGTGGGTGAACTGGGCCCTTCCCTGTGCCAGGGGTTCACCACCTGGTGGGGTGGGAGGAGAGTTCAAAAGGAGGGTTTGATGTAGCTTTGAAGTCCTGGGACCAGGAAACGGCCAGTCTGGCCTTGAAGAGCTGTTTGCTGCTCTGTCCTCATCCACAGGCCTCAGCCAGTAGATGGTGTCTCTGTGGGGCTGGGTTGATCTACGACCTCTCCAGTGTAGGAGACACTGAGATCTTGAGTTGGCGCGGAGGAAAGCTGCTTAATGCCAGAGGTTGTGTGAGCGAAGACCCCCAGTGGGCCTCGCCACATCACAGACCTCTTTTCCTCCCAGTTCTCTATCAGGATCCTGGGCACACGTGCACTGGGCATGTTTTCTTTTATTGAGAGATCTCTGGTGTAGGACTCATGCTCTTGCCAGAGAAAGTGAGAACCCCCCCCCCATGGGGATGATCACACCACAATCTCTTGTCCATTCTCTGGGGATCACAGGTGCACACACATGGACCCAGCCTGAGTTTTAAGCCACTGGGTCTGGGACTTGAACTGTGGTTGACTTACTGGGAGTCCAGCAATGTAACTGTTACACCATCTGCTGGTCCCGTGGGCTTGTTATTCAAGTGTCAGATTCAGAAATCACAACCAACACCATGGTTGGTCGTTGAGTACCCGTTTTCTGCGCACATGCCATGAGACCAGCCTCTTCACTGTCTTAATGCATCGCCCTCTTGGCCCACAGTCCTTGCTGGTGCAGACCAAACGGCGGGCCCTGGAGAAGATCGACCTCAAGTTCATTGACACCACCTCCAAGTTTG